CCCCCCCTTTTTTTTCCTGGCATAAGATTTTTTTTCTGGCGTAAGATGATATTATTTGAACGTACCCTTCAGGAGATTTCTGGATGAATTGATCCATGTCTAGATCTAGCCTCCTAGCCTAAGATTAAAGTCTTTCACAAATTTTTATACTAGATCTATCTACCTGGTGCTATATGGAACCAAGCAAGCTAAGTACAATGCAACCAGACGACCGTGTTTACGATTGCTTTACTGTAGATCTAGATCTAGCTAGACTAGAAAGAAAATGTTTCAGTCCAAACAAGACTATTGGGTCGGTTTGCTTGCTAGATTGATGGTGCAAAGCGGCTATCGTGGCACAAGTCGAGCGCGCCCGACTCGTTGTTACAAAACAAACACGTTGTTTTCAGGCGACGAGTCGGGCGATCATCCCGACCCGACCTGACCCGGCCCGTGTCACTGGGCGGCGGCGGGCACCCTATAGTGCAAAGGAGCGACTTGTCCCCCTTGGCGTCGTTATTTTTAGTCGTGGAAGAAGATTTCGGTGTTTTTAATGACATTTTATTATTATTTTTCCAAATTTTGCGGGAAACTGGCTAAAATTAGCGAATCCACGAAAATGGTAAAAGTTGCGCAAAAGTTGCACTGACGGTAAAAGTTGCGCGCGCAACTTGCGGGTTGAGGGCGCGAATTTCTCTGAGGACAGAATGGTTCGAGATAACAGCCGGAGTAAGACAAAGTAGTGTCCTATCACCTCTACTATTTATCACATAGCATATATGGATAGAATTACAAAAGAGGCCAACACAGAACCAAACGCCCTAAATGAATTACTCTTCGTTGATAACCAAAGCCTGGCACACAAAGATGAACGAAGTCTCCAACACCACACCACCAGAATTTAAACGAAGAATGTAACAACTATGACAAGAAGATCAACATCAACAAAACAGAGACAATGAAAGTAAGCAGTGTGTGTTTGTATATGTGTTTGTGTGTGTTTGTGTATGTGTTTGTGAGTGTGTTTGTGTGTGTTTGTATGTGTGTGTATGTTTGTGTGTATGTGTGTATGTGTGTGTTTGTATGTGTGTTTGTCTGTGTGCTTGTGTGTGTGTGTGTGTGTGTGTATGTATGTGTGTGTGTGTGTGTGTGTGTGTGTGTGTGTGTGTGTGTGTGTGTGTGTGCACATTGTGATTATGAGAGTAAATGGAAAATCTTGAAAACCGAATAATATTTTGAAAGATTCTGATAACATTAAAAAATAAAGTGCAATCTACACAAGCATACTTGCATACCTTCTACAAAACTTCTTCAGCATGGTGAGATATCCCTCTGATGTGACTGTCAACACTGTCATGGTTTTATTGCCCCTTGTCCAGGAACCAGAACGTGCCAATCACGCCCCGGTAGCTGAACGCTTTTAAGAATTAAAATTTTGCGTTTTACCCAATTGTGGTTGAGGTTTTTAAACTTCATATTTCTCGAACACTGAGATTGATTTTCTTCATGTTTAAAGACTTTATCTCCTCATGGTTGAATTTTGTTTCTTTGAAGTTTTATTGAAATTGGTGAATAGATGATTGAGTTATTGTCCTTTAAGTGGATCCTCTTTTTTAGACATCCTGAATGATACAGTCAAACCAGTTACCGCCTACCTCAGGACGAGCATGAAGTTGGCGGTACAGCGGGGCTGATAGTACATGTATAACGGGATAGCACCGATTTCCATTATGAGCAGTGGTAGAGACAGAGAGACAAATTGTGACCTGCCTTGCCTCAGTTCCTTTGAAGTTTCCCCAGACTACCCCAAATTTTCGTTTTAGCTTTCTAAATAAAATATTGAACAAATCATAAAGACAATTGCATTTTCATAATCAGCGCAAATCAGGAGCAAATCGGAGACAAAGACTAGAAATAGGCCAAACTCGCAGAGACCTGTGTGGGAAAGAGATTATCAAGCAGCCACCGTGTGAGTGGCGTGCGCCGCGGGTGGTTCAGCAGGGGGAAATTTACATTTGTTTTAATTTTATAGGGACTGTTAAACCCAGACAGTTGGCAGATGGCGGTTGTCATTCTTATCATAATCATTATTATATAGTTATTATTACTTTTAACATTAACATCATCACACCCATATACTTGTCTACCCCCCTCTCTTTAGCCTTTCTCTCTCTCTCTCTCTCTCTCTCTCTCTCTCTCTCTTTAAACAA